CTAAGATTGAACAAAAGAGGTGCAAATCTGGAGTCGATGTAATTTAGCCTGCTCTGCTCTGTTTTGTGTCTCGTAGGTGCTACCATCTTCGACCGGGAAACCGGGCTAGATCGTGAATACTGGCAGACATGGCCGTGTGGGAAACTGAAGATGAGTTAAGCAGTGTTGCGGCTTCACCACTGCCAGCTCCCACTGATACACCTTACCGGACGCCCTCGCGAAACTCAAAGAGGTCGCGCCGTTCTGCTACTCCGCCGGGGGGTTCAGCTTCCTCTCCTCCCCCGTTGCCACAGGATAAGATGGAGAAGAAGAGCAAGCGATCGTCGAAAGATGTAAAGACAGATGAAAACAGCGGCATTTTCGACCCTCGCCGGTTTACACCTACCCTTCATGCGAACCTAGTATCGGAGATTCTGTCCTTGCGAAGGGACCAAGAAGAGAAACTCAAGATAATCGAAAGCCTTGAAAGCTCACTACATGCTACTCAAGAGGAACACGAGTCTCTCCAGACCAACCTATCCAGTATTTCCAAAGAGAGCAGGTCTTTGAAGCGACAACTCTCCCTGCTCGAAGGAGGGACAGCGTCAGCTATAAGCGAGTTAGCAAAGGAACGTGATGAAGCTGTCGACGCGATAACCGAGACTAGGAGACGGCTCGAAGCTGCACAGAAGAGAGTCCGGACGCAAGAGGAAGATTCTCAGAGGGTCCATGATCTCTGGGCCAAGGAGAAAGATGAGTGGGACGAAGAAAGGCGCCGATACGAGCGAAAGATACATGTTGCCGAGAGCCGTCTCAGAGTCGTTCTGGAGGAGGTTGCCAATTTACAGGCAGCACAAACCAACGGGAATCATGATAAAACCGAGAGTGACACCGAGAAGGAAAATGATGGCGTTAGCGTACGAACGATGAGCATGACCAATAGCGTCCGGTATTCAGTGATGAGCGGACCCGGCTTTGGCAAGATGAACGGATACAGTCTTGCTGATGAGCTCAACTTCGACGACGACGACGATTACCAGACGGATCCGGACGGTCGCCAAAGTGTGCTCTCGCCTCCAAGACACAACCGAAACCAGAGTCGAGATAGTATAATGTCTAAATCTCATCGACGTAACCAGAGCAATGATAGCCAGATACGACCGGGCAGCATTGTACGAAATAGACTATTTATGAACCAAACCGTACTCGACAGGCTCGAAGGTGGAATTCGCGAAGATGATGAGAACTCTGTGGTATCTCAGAAGGTACAGTATACTGACACGGGTGTTCAATTCTCACCACCACCATCTCCTAGGGCAGTACCGATAAAGCCAGCAACGCCAGAGCCTGCCTTAAAAAGCGAGAAGCAGATGGGCTTAGAAAGTCCATCCCGAGTCGAGGGTGAGATTGAAGCAAACCAGAGTCGCAAGAGGGTATATGTGAACAAGCCAGGACCAATGGAGTCCCCTAAAACAAAACCGATGGTATCAGCCGCGTCTCAGACATCAGAGAAAGCGCCCATACTGGCCACATCTCAACCAGTAATCGTGGAGACGAAGCCCGCTCCCGCTACGATTTTGATATCGGCTGCCACTCAAACAGAACCCGCCGCACCTAAACAACAGCTAGTTATTCCCCCACTTTCGATACCGAGCATTAGCATAGTTCCACCAACTAGTCGACCGTCGAGTCCGCGCGAGCATCGTTTGCCTCAGTACGTCAAAGACTTCGGGTGCCAAGTTTCTATCTTGCAGTCGAATCCCATGAGGTCGATTTCCGTACAGACAGATGAGATCAGGGTTGACAAGAGGCTTGACAAATTACCGCTACATCTTCATCCGTCTGCCATCTCTTCAAGACCTTCGTCCCCTACTATCACTACTCCTACTACTGTGGCGGCCGACGAGAGCAAAACTTTCACACCAGTGCCTGGACATGTCCCTCCGCGAAACCCACGTCGCCTCGAAAGTAACAGACAAAGCTTTTCGGCCGAATTGCCTACTTCGCCCCCAGCGTCACCAACCGTCGACGACTCAGAAACGCGGGACGCATATCCTGGCAACAACGATGATGGTCCGTTATCTAGTGCTAAGGCCCCCGTTAGGCGACCACATCGTATAAGTAGCCTATTTGCGGGTTTCGATGTTCAAAGCTCAGATGAACAGGACGAATTTGGTGAGGACCAGAGCGACTCCGAATACCGTACGGCACTTGCCCCGAGACCTAAAACTGGCCCTAGTAAACCTAACAAGCGAGTAGCATCAAGCGCAGCCTCTGCTTCTCCCGAACCAAGTAAAGCCGCCGTTAGACAGTCGACGAGTGCCATGAGCAAGATCGGTAGTCCGGAAGTTTACAGTAGTTTCCGCCTCGCCGAGGCCCCGGAGGGTCTAACACGAAAACCGCCTGTCAAAGTGGCCACTGGAGCAGCCGGTAGACCGTTAACATACAGTGCGGGTTCCCGAGCCAGTGTTATGCGAAAATCAGCAATGATTCAGAGCGGTATTGCTTCACATCAAGGCCATTCGCGGACCCCCGACTTGCTCGAATCGAAGGACCCTCCGTTCCCAATTCCTACGAGAGCGAGCTCAAGGAAGCCACCGTTTAGCGTCAGTGCCCCGAGCGACGGCCAACGTAGTCCTACCTACAATGGCGAGCATTGGCCTCGTAGAGGCAGGAAAGCTAGCGTGTACAGGAGCAGTAGCATCCGCAAAGCCCGTTCAGCGGCAGCGATACCCCAGCCTCAGAGAGCCAGAAGACGTGGTAGCCGTTCGCCACCACCGCCGATGTCTCCCTCGGAAGAAGCCCCTGAAAGCCCGGGTCTCCCGCCACTGCCAACCAACGACATCACCACCCCTCGGCGGGATCGTGGCGGATCTCGATACCGTAGTCATAGATCCCAGCCTTCGACCAACACTGCAAACACCGAAAACACGAACACGGGTTCCGTTGGTAGCAACCAACAATCATCGAGTGTGGTAGATGCTATCGCGCAGACAATGGTTGGCGAATGGATGTTCAAGTATGTTAGAAGACGCAAGTCGTTCGGTGTAGCCGACGGTACCGGCCGCGGGGAGGAGAATAGCAATGACCGTCACAAGCGGTGGGTATGGCTCGCACCTTATGAGCGCGCGATCCTGTGGAGCAGCAAACAGCCTGCATCTGGAAATGCGTTAATGGGCAAACCAGGCCGGAAGCGTAAGTACTACCCAACAACTAGGTTTAGGACGACACCACTGACCAGATCATAGTGATCATACAATCTGTGCTTGATGTAAAGGATGACAACCCTCCACCTAAAGGCAGCACCCAGCTCTTTAATCGTTCTATCCTTATCTTAACACCACAGAGAGCATTGAAGTTTACCGCCACAACGGCCGAGCGCCACTACCTTTGGTTGACAGCACTGTCATTCCTGGCGCATTCGCAACAAGATGTCCCTGAGATCATCCCAACAGCTAATTCGCCAAATATCGGCCCAGCGCCAGATTTCGAAGCGCCTCAGGCAAAAGCTAAAAGGGGCGGCATTCGTGACTCGATTAGGCTAACGAAGGGAAGAAATCCTGCGTTGATGGCCCGCCATGACCCTGTTACGACCACAAATCATCTAGAGGAAGCCCTATCAGCCCAACAAGAGACGTCCCCTCCGATACCTGCTCATCAGCGTGACCTGTCACGCGATGCAGCGGAACCCCCCTTCATCCCGCGATTCCATGAAAGGTCACATGAACGAGTACATGAACGGGCAAATCAGGTTGTTCTTCATGGTCGTAAGAGGAGTAATACTGGTGGCCACATCCCTCCGCCGCTCTCGTTCCGAGGCTTTTCGGGACCGGCAAGCAGCTCCTATCATGTCTCGACCAACAGTACCGCGGGCAACAGCGTGGATACAGCGGGTTCGTCTGATATCTATCAATCTCAAGGATCTACCAACATGACCTGGGGTATGAGCACTGCCGGTTCCCAACGAACGTCGGAAGCATCATCTCGACCACCAGGTAACTTCTTCGAAGCGATCGGTACCGTGCGGATGGAGGCTTTTATTAGCCCACTGGCATTCCCACGATTTGAAGACCATCCAGACGAGCAAGAGGAGTGGCGATACAGAGCCCGTCGACGGAGTAAAGAAGCTCGTCGTCGCCGTAGCCGAAGCAGACATCGGGATAGCTACGTTTCTCGTGGTACGCGCGGCACAGATTCTTATTATGCCGGAAGTAGGGCCGGAGAAGAAGATTACTTCCGAGATGATCCATTTAAGGGATTCTAATAAGATCGCTTGTCCTTTTAGTACTTGTATTGTGCGCGGAGATACCCTCAAATTCATCGCGTTAGACGATACCATTCGTTTAGCAAGCAAGCAGGTCGGCAATCATTTCTACAATATGGTTTGTTTTTGTTGGTGTTTTGGAGTTTTATGCGTTTCATACTCTTGTAGATATTTGATATTGCCGAAATCTCGGTGACGAGCACGACCTGGGTTTCCTTGCCTCACATTCTTCCATTTCTTTCAACTAGTAATTCGTTTGTCATTTGTCGTCTTTCTCTCTGTCGAGTATTCTTGTACAACAATTTCCGCTAGTTCTCAGACTATATTATTGGGTTGGAAAATGGAAGGAGTTGGATGCCTACGGATAGGATCTGAACAAGGACCAAACAGGATCAAACAGGATTGGAGGGTGGTTAGGTAGCCCGGTGTTATTACCAAGGCAAGGAAAGCAACCTTAGATGAGCGATTGGCTTGGGTTTCAGGACCGATTCTGGGGTTAAAAAAATAGTTGGCTCAATGGGGTTGTTGGCATGTTATCTGAGGATACATGTAGGTTTAATCTCTACATGTAGCTAGAAGGAAATAAGTATAAAATACTATGATTTTGATTGGAAATGTTGATTGGGAATGTCCAATACATAAAATTGTTGATTGCCGGGGTAGGTTAGGTACGAAGTAGGAGGCAAAGGTGCACTTAACCAAACGTATGTGCCTTAGGTACTGTTTGCTTTGTTTGCTTTATTCGGGTTTGTACATGACTAATGGATGTTAACATTGAGAAGGAGGGGCAGAGTTGCGGGACGTGCCCCGCTAATTCGATAATATGGATTAGGTATCTGGTACTGATGTTTGAAATGCTGCCGGGAAAGCGGGTGGATCATAACTGCCCAGCGTGGCAACGCGAGGCTTCCAAACTTATGCCTGAGCCTTTAATTATAGTCTTACATCTTACCTACCTCATATAATAGGTACCTACCTACACTGAGTTGTCTCATAACGTGAGACGGCGCCCGCCATTCTACCCTTCCTTCTGGATCTTCCACTTTACTTTGTAACAATACTTTGTAAACGTCATAAAAACTACCACGCAGCAATACCACTCGGAGCCGGCACCTGGGTTTTCTTCCCTCTATATCCACCCGACTCATACTATCAAATACGCCTCCGCTCTACAACCCCCACGATGTTGAAGATATGGTCTATGGTGAATCGCACGAGTCACTGTATCTTACTATGTAACATATTCTAACGGTCATTGCACAGAAATCTGCCCAGCAAAAGGCAGAAAATGCTGATGGCGCAGCTGGGAAAAAGAAGAAGGTCACGCCCGCTCAACTACGGGTACAAAAAGGTAACTATCAACATTCTGCTATTTAGTAGTCTATCTTGATTTTGGTATACTGACTGTTCTTATTATCGCTTTGAATTAGATCTCTCCGAACTATCTTTAGGATCGACTATGAAAACGGTGTTCCCCGACCCGGATGATATCCTCAACTTCGTGCTCGAAATCACGCCGGACGAGGGCATCTACCATGGCGGATTGTTTACCTTCACCTTCACTATGGGTCCGAACTACCCGCATGAGCCACCCAAGGTGCGCTGCCAGCAGAAGATCTACCATCCCAACATCGATCTCGAGGGCAAGGTGTGCCTAAACATTCTGCGCGAGGACTGGAAACCGGTACTCAACCTGAATGCTGTCATTGTCGGTCTACAGTTCCTGTTTCTCGAACCGAACGCCTCGGATCCTCTAAATAAAGAGGCTGCAGACGACCTACGTTCGAGCCGCGAAAGCTTCCGAAGAAACGTGCGTGTCTCGATGGGCGGTGGATCGATACGTGGAGTTACATACGACCGTGTGCTTTCTAATAGGTAGGGAGTGGGTAGGACGTAAAGGACTCAACGACGGGGCATTTTGCGAACAAAAAGGCGTTTCATCCCAGCCAGACTACACGATATACTCGAGCTGGCACAACAAGAAACCCTATGCAAGTCGGATGATGCTCAAATGTAAGGGGGCAAGATGAGACCAAAGGAAGAGGTTTTAGACTGGCTTTGCGGACGGCACATAGCAAGGCGTTTACGAGGGGGCCGCATTTACTCCAAGGTATTAAAGAGACGGTCAAATTCGTCTCTGTTTTTGGTATTTTGCAGCTGTAAATATCACTTTATAGCTACCTAGGCATTATGCTTAATGCTTTCCATGGACGACCAATGACCAACGACCAACGACCAACGACTACACCATGATAGATAGATACTGGTATTATGAATATGACGAAATTATCATCACAATATTCACGTGGGTATTCTTATTCTTATACATTCCTCCCAGATGCTTTAGGACTTGGGTGGTGTGAGTAGGTACCTAACATAGAGAGGCATCTGATGCAATTTATGATTATTGCGACTCCATCGTCACCGCCTATTGAAGGCGTGGGATACTGGTTATTTTAGGAAGCCAGATGTACCTGTACGATGAAACCACTGCACTCCAAGGCCCGCTTCTAGCAGACCGGACCGGTGTTACCCCACCATTGGTCCAGGGCAACGGATTGATTCGACTCAGCGCCGAAGTCGCAGTTTAAGCTCTTTGCAGCCGGAGCTCCCAAGACCCTGGAAAAAAACAAAAAAGTTTTTTAAAAAAAAAGTTAAAAAATTAATAAAGTAAAAGGTAAAAATAAAAAACGTGGGCAAAAAACTTTGATCCGTAAAACAACAGCGCATTCCGGGCCATCGCAATACCCATTAAGTTCTTTACACCTTTCCTCACCTCAATCTCCATTCGGTAGACTTTTTACGATGGCTTCCAGAGGGTTTTCTAAGGCTCTTCGTAGCCAATTGGCCCGTCGAGTGGCTTCGCCCGCTGTCCAGCAACGTTCTTTCGTTGCTGCGTCCAACATGGCCAGAACTACTATCAAGGCTCGTCCTGCTTTAGCTGGTGCCGTTCAGCAACAGATTCGCGGTGTCAAGACCATTGACTTCGCCGGAACCTCCGAGGAGGTCTATGGTAGGTTAAGTTAAAATATCATATAAGAACATTCATTATATAGGTGTTATGGACTAATCCCGTTATATAGAGCGTGCCGACTGGCCTAAGGAGAAGCTCTTGGTAAGTACTCAAACCTTGAAATCAGACTGGTTGAGAGAAATTAGAGACAATGGCTAACACCACCTAAAGGAATACTTCAAGAACGACACCCTCGCCCTTATCGGTTACGGTTCCCAGGGTCACGGCCAGGGTCTTAACCTTCGTGACAACGGCCTGAACGTCATCATCGGTGTCAGGAAGAACGGCCAATCGTGGAAGGATGCTGAGCAGGATGGCTGGGTTCCCGGCAAGAACCTCTTTGAGGTCGACGAGGCTATCTCCAAGGGTACTATCGTCATGAACTTGCTCAGTGACGCTGCCCAGAGCGAGACGTGGCCCGCTATCAAGCCCCAATTAACTAAGGGCAAGGTATGTTAACATGAGTCACCAATTCTGAGAAGCAAAAAGAAAATTGACAATTTATAGACTCTATATTTCTCGCACGGTTTCTCGCCCGTCTTCAAGGATATCACCAAGGTTGATGTCCCTAAGGACATTGACGTCATCCTCGTTGCCCCTAAGGGTTCTGGCCGAACCGTCCGATCGCTCTTCCGTGAAGGTCGGGGTATTAACTCGTCCTACGCCGTTTTCCAGGATGTAACTGGCAAGGCCGAGGAGAAGGCTCAGGCCCTCGGTGTCGCCGTTGGCAGCGGATACCTCTACAAGACTACCTTCGAGAAGGAGGTCTACTCTGACTTGTACGGTGAGCGTGGCTGCTTGATGGGTGGTATCCATGGTATGTTCCTAGCTCAATATGAGGTTCTCCGAGAACGTGGCCACAGCCCCAGCGAGGCCTTCAACGAGACCGTTGAGGAAGCCACTCAGAGTTTGTACCCTTTGATTGGTGCCAACGGTATGGACTGGATGTACGAGGCTTGCTCTACTACCGCCCGACGAGGTGCCATTGACTGGACCCCGAGATTCAAGGACGCGCTGAAGCCCGTCTTCAACCAGCTCTACGACTCTGTCAGGGATGGTACCGAGACTAAGCGATCGCTCGAGTACAACAGCCAAAAGGATTACCGACAGAAATTTGAGTCTGAGATGGAGGAGATCCGCAACTTGGAGATCTGGAGGGCCGGCAAGGCTGTGAGGTAAGAATCACTCGGGACCAGGAAGTCCAAATAAGTCCAAATACGCGCTACCTTGATTATGGCTAATTAATTTCTCTGTATAGATCTCTCCGACCCGAAAACCAAAAATAAGTGTATTTGGCGTTAAAACTAAGAGTATCGGAACGGTAAACTAAAAGTTGGTGTGGTATATTCCCCGGGGGCAAAGGGAGCCTTTGTACTTATATTCGGGATCCTCCAGTGTCGTCTCACGAAGATCTAGGGATACTCCCCCAAAGTGTTCATAGTCGAATTTTCAATGAAGCTTTTAAAAATCGATTGTTTTCAGGCTACTTTCATTTCTTTATGTACCCTCCTCAATGTTGCTTCTCCGTTATCGGACCCTAATAACAAATCGTAGATTTTTGACTGGGTAAAGTCTCGCGGCCAGGCTAGCCTTGAACATGTACTAAAGCCTTGCTACTCTTGGTATAATCTTATTAGTTTTGACTTGGGAGTATCCGAGGAGGATTGGCTAAGTATACGATAATTAGACATTGACTTGTATAACCTACCTACCTACCTACCTTATAAGACTCCCATTCACTCACTTATTTACTAGGTTACCTTTTTACAACCTCTCTTCCCCGCCATTTAGGTTTAGTTACTAAAACCCTCCTCATTGTCCCCAGAACAAGACCAAATCAAGGAATTCAAAATCACCTATGGCGGACCCATCCACGTCGCCGCCCCTGACGCGGGCCTCGGTGGCAGCGGCCCGGGAGCTTATCAAGCCGTTCGTGCACCGGACGCCGGTAGTAACGAGCACGTCGCTGTCGGCGCTAGCTTCCGGCGCGGATGCAGATGCGGGAAAGGCAAGCCCGAAGCTGAGGCTCTGGTTCAAGTGCGAGAACTTCCAGAAGGTGGGCGCCTTTAAGGCCCGCGGCGCGTTCCATGCCATCGAGAGGCTGAAGCAAGAACCCGGCTGGTTGGAGGGGGGAGGGGCGGAGAAGGGCGTTGTTACGCATAGTTCTGGTTTGTTTTGGGGGGGGTTTCTTACTGTACTCGTTGATATAGTTTCATAACTGGCTACCTAGTGTTCTGGTTTAAATATGGCCTCGTAACACTTAGCGTAGGCTAGGCGCCGTTTCAAGACTAGCTAACTAACCACCACCACCAACCAACCAGGGAACCACGCACAAGCGCTCGCCCTCGCAGCCCGCGCCAACGGTATCCCCGCGCACATCGTGATGCCCACGATCTCGGCGCCGCCCAAGATCGCCGCGACCAAGGGCTACGGCGCCCATGTGATTTTCAGCGGCAGCACGAGCGTCGAGCGCGAGGCCGTCACCGCCCAGGTCGTCGAGGACACCGGCGCGCGCCTCGTGCCGCCCTACGACCACCCGGATATTATCCTGGGCCAGGGCACGCTGGGCCTCGAGTTCCAGGAGCAGGTCGAGGCTCTGATGATGGCCGAGGAGGACGAGAAGCTGGGGCCGGGAAAGAAGACGAGGAGGAGCAAGAAAGGGCTTGATGCCATTATTGCCCCTTGTGGCGGCGGCGGTAGTAAGTGTCTATTTTTGATTATCTTATTTCCAGTCTTACATTAAGAGTCCGGTTATTCTGGGGATATCCATATACCGTGCTTGCACATGTGACTAGCTTCTTTTCTTGTCCCTTTCTCAACCCCCTATCTTTCTTTTCTGGTTCCTCTTCCATTCTCTTACACCTTCACGGCTACCGGCTACCGGCTACCGGCTACCGGCCATATATACTCTCCTCCTCCCCTCTTTAAAAACAAGCTGTGGCTAACACTAACCGCCTATAGTGCTCTCCGGTGTAGCCCTCTCCTGCGAAGGCACCGGGATCCGGGTCTTCGGCTCGGAGCCCTCGTTCCAGGGCGCCGACGACGCAAAGCGAGGCTACGAGTCGGGCACCCGCGTGGAAGCCGTGTCTTCGCTAACCGTGGCGGATGGTCTGCGCACACCGCTCGGCCGTATCCCCTGGTCCGTCATCTACGAGCGCCGCCTCGTGTCCGGCTTTTACAGCGTCAGCGAGGCCGACATCATCCGTGCGCTACGCCTCGCCTACGAGCGGCTCAAGGTCGTTATCGAGCCTAGCTCCGCCGTGCCCCTCGCCGTCGCCCTGTATAATGAAGACTTTAGGGAAATGGTCGAACGCGAAGCGGGCGAGGACGGTTGGGATGTGGGTATTGTGTTTAGCGGAGGGAATGTCAGTTTAGAGGCTTTGGGTAAGCTATTCGCCGAGAGTCCTGAAATAGCCAAGTAAATATAGAAGTTTTCTCCCTTTGAAGACGTAGTGAACATATAATTATGTGCATTAAATTTTGGTATCTTAGGTATCTTGGATTTAATTCAGAGGACCTTGCTAATACTCGGCCTATACGCTAGAGAAGGCGGCGCTATGGGAATAAAATGATACTCTAGGTACCTCAACCTACATACTCCCAAGGTTCCATCATATCGACAGCGTCTCGCTATTTCATCAACGAGACCTCTTAGGCTCGTTCTGATTAAATAATCTAAAGCGGGTATTGAGCTCATTTACTTAAAGCCTTGTCCATCTGTTCCCTCCATTTCCGACTGTTCTTTCGCAGGAGCCAGATCGATAAGTTACCGCTCAGCCAGGCGATCAAGCCAATCATAGTCATCAGCCATCCAATGCCCATAGCATCGATGAGAGGTTGACCTACTATACCACCCACGCAGCTGAATATGTTCCGCACGAAGTTATTAAGAGCAACACCGCTACTACTTCTCTGCGGCATGAATTCGGTGAGCATAGTGGTAGCAGCACTAAAGACAAGCATACTACCGAAGCCGAAAAGGAAGTTAGCTACAGATGGTGCCATCCAGTGAATTCCGTACTGTATTGTCCAGCCGGACCAGATTAACGCCCCGGGATACAGTGTGGCGGAGATCCATGCATTCTCGCGCATACGATCCTCGGGTAGATAGATGAGCTTCCCATTGGCGTCGTATCTTTGGGCCTTCTCCGCTGCTCGGACCATGATCCGGTCGATCCATCGTCCGCCAAGCAGCGACGCTGCAAAGTAACCTAACGAGCTTGGCAGGTACAAAAGTCCTATAATGATAGCTGAGTAACCATACGGAGCTGACGAGAATGCCGATTGAAGGGATATGTTAAGGACGTATAACGACCCAAAAGTGATCGCAGCATAATACACAGTAATTGCCACGGCGGGGAAACGCAGGTACATGATTATCTCAAGCGGATCAACAAAGCATTTCTTTAACTGTACGAATGCCTGTTTAGTGTGCACCTGCACGGAGCGTGTAGTAGAAACGCGCGACAGGCCGTCAGGGTGCGATGATTCAGCTGCAGCCGTAGGCTTACGCTTCGCCAAGGTCTCCGGGACGCAGAATAAGACAAGGATGAAAACGACAGCGCCATAGGCAGTTAGGAACCATACGGTACTCCTCCAGCCAAACCCTTCTGTGAGAGCACCGCCTATGATCGGGGCCAAAAGGGGTCCCATAAGCGGTCCAAGGTAGAAATATCCCATAGCGCGGCCGCGTTCCCGGGGTTCCCAGCAATCGGCGATTGTGCCGGCGCCGACAGCTTGGACGGAGGCGGCAGCACCGCCCGATAGGATACGAAACACAATCAGCATGCCAATATTGACGCTTAGGCCGCTCACTAGTGAGAAGACAACGTTCAAGAAGAAGGACGAGAGATAGATATTACGACGTCCTAGGGTTTCGGAGAAAGAACTCCACCAGAGCGGGAAGATTGACATTGCTAACATGTATAATGCTACCGTCAAGTTTACGACTGTTGGTGAGGCACCGAGGTCCTTTGACATGTCCGGAAGGGCGGCTAATATGATTAGATGAGTCTTCTAATATACCTTGACTAAAGGGGGTTTGTGCTACACTATAACGGAAGGTATATATTTGCTTACGATAAAAGATGGCAGACCCCATTGGCGCTGCACACGCCGCTAAGGCTATGAAAACTGTTATTGTCCATTTCACTTTGTTTGGATAATCGTAAGGTCGCTCGACCTCTGGGATGACAGCCAACTGCGCAAGGAAGCCCCGCCGTTTCAACATTGGCACTATGGACAGCGGCTTAGACCGAGCAGACGACGCTTGGGACCTAACTCGTTCCATTGGTATTGTAGCTGCAGCCTCTTCGTCTACCAAGATGCCATTCGGAGTTAGCAGCTGATCAGGAACGGCGTCTATAGATTCATCCTCCACATCATGGTCTGTGGTGGTTATAGACGCGGCAGTATCCTCGTCTTCTGATCGCGTTCCTTGCAACTTATTGTTCTCTGCCTTCTCGTCCATCTTTTCTGAGTCGACAGCCATATCTAATTGTTTTGCCTCACCGCAGCAATGGTGCTTAGCGGTGTGTTCGCGTTAAGACAATAGCTGGTAACCGATATCGGTGAGGTAAGATGAATAAATAAAACCAAGCGAAATACAGGTATTATAAGAAAGCTGTAGAGATCAGGGATAGGAATGGATTGCTTAGAGATTGGGTGTTGGAGACGATGAATGAACAAAACAACGTGAAGATTAGAAAATAAAAAATAAAAAAATATAATCTTGTCTGTCGACGTTGTTGGATGATTTGCTGCTTTAATTTTGTGTGTGGAAAGTCTGTAGAAACGGGAGGGAATTGTAGTGCATCTGAAAAGTTGAAAAGCCGACAAAACCGAGACCATGACTGATGACTACTTGGGCCAGTGATTCCGTTCGGATAGTGATTCCGATACACCAGACCATAGCCGGCAAGAGGAGCGATCTCCATCGCCTAGGTCAACAAGGTTGCAATCCTCGACACACCATTTCGGATGTATGTTAGCATCAAAATGGTACCAACACTTATCCGCGTCCATAGAAGATATCGGCGATACGAACAGCTCCTCGGAAGGAGTGTAGTTGACGAAGACTACCCTAGTATTTGACTCAGAGACTCGGAGTTAGATTATTTATTTTTAATTGGGTAAATCTACGACAGAGGAACATGTTTAAAGATACCCCGGAAGCTGCCGGGAGCTGAACTGGCCGATAATTGAAGACCAACTGTCTATGAGAGGCTCTTATAAGGTATGAAAGTGATTTTTGGAAGTTAGATCACTATCCGTAATGTGTGTTAGGTTACAGATGTTGGTATGGTAATTGTTATTGGATGACGATATTGAATTGCATAAAAATCGTAAAGTACAATGGATGTGTTTTACAGTATGTAGGTTAGGTACCTAGGTACATATGGCAGAGTTAGAGCTCCAATTAGAGGCTGAGACCCATTTTGTGGCTTGCCTTAGCCTGTGTAACTGCTTAACCGCTTAACCTAGGTATCAGCCACTCATATCGTTTTCTCGATGCTATGGAAACTTCCAATACAAGCACATACACATGCACATAGCACATAGGCACATTCTACATTCTACTTTCCACATTGTCCAACAGTACCTACCTAGGTAGTTAAAGTGCCTAGTTGCAATGTCTCTCACAAATGCATCCCCTTCGGAAGCTGCCAAGTCTGCGAAAGAAGCATCGCATATACTCGCTACACTATCCGAGTCGGCGAGAAACGATGCCTTAACAGCTATCTACGATAGCTTGACTGCGGCTAAGCATGGTATACTTGCTGCCAATGCTCGTGACCTCCAAGCTGCACGCTCAGCAGCAGAGCATGGCCAGCTGAGTCAAAGTTTGGTATCGAGGTTAGACCTCGGTAAGAAAGGGAAATGGGAGGACATGCTTAAAGGGATACTCGACGTTCGAGGCCTCAGGGACCCTGGTGAGTCACCAGCAGAGTTGAGCCCAATGTGAATGAAACTAATTATACTAAAGTCGGCAAGATTACCTTAAGAACTAAGCTTGATGATGGATTAGAGTTGACAAGAGTCACCTGTCCCATTGGTGTTCTACTAATCATCTTTGAGGCGCGGCCTGAGGTTATTGCCAATATCGCTTCCCTTGCAGTAAAATCAGGCAATGCCGCCATCTTAAAAGGTGGTAAAGAGTCAACAGAATCATTCGTTGCCATTTCCAAAGCCATCTCTGCAGCTCTGGACAAGACCAAGGTCCCTAATGGTGCCATCCAGCTAGTTACTACAAGAGATGTAATACCGCAGCTGCTAGATCTCGACCAATACATCGATCTTGTAATTCCTCGGGGCTCCAACGAACTGGTCCGATATATCAAGTCATCCACCAAGATCCCTGTCCTCGGCCATGCCGATGGCTTATGCTCCATCTTTCTCGAGCAGTCAGCAGATCCGAAGATGGCAGCAGGTGTAATCGTTGATTCTAAGACCAGCTATCCCGCCGCGTGCAACAGCTTGGAAACATTGCTAGTGCAGGAATCCTCTCTGGACACACTTCTCCCCATAGTAGCCGAGGCCCTAATTGCGAAAGACGTCGTCTTACGCTGCGATACCAAAACTAAAGCGGCACTTTCTAGCAAGCTGCCATCCGATCTCTCTACAAAGCTCGAGGATGCCCAGAGTGCCGACTACGATACTGAGTTTCTCAGCCTTACGCTTGCAGTCAAGACAGTTGCAGACATCCATGAAGCAATTACCCATATCAACATCCATGGCTCTAAACATACGGACGTAATATTAACCAGCTCTTCTGAACTCGCTGAGCAGTTTATGTCGAGCGTAGATGCAGCAGGCGTATACTGGAATGCCTCAACTCGCTTTGCTGACGGTATGAGGTACGGCTTCGGGACTGAAGTTGGCATTAGCACAAATAAAATCCACTCTCGAGGCCCCGTAGGCTTGGAGGGCCTGATGATCTACAAATACAAAATCCGAGGGCAAGGTCATGTCACAGCAGCCTACGGCGAAGGGGAAGGAAAGAAGAGCTATAAACATGAGAGTCTCCCCTTGTAGGTCATTGCGCTCTAGGAGTGGCGTACTTTGAAATCTAGTGGCGTTTAGGAAGCATGGTGCGTGGGTAAAATGTTATATGAAAGTTTTTGAATTACACTATGTGGCAAGACCGTAGTGGCTATATAACTCCCGGTCCTCGGCTGCCAAGAGTAAAATTGTATCTTGTTAGTACTGATTATAGATGAAGTACCTATGATAGCTCCCTTAAGCATGCGTGCCGTACTATCAATAGAGTAAGAGAAAGCTATAGATTTATATTGAGACATGCGCTTTCTATAGTCATTCATGCGTATCATACATGCTTCAAGATTCCGCTGTAGCATTCTTACTCACATATGGTAACCTCTAGGCGCAGGGTTCGTAGGTGAACCAACGGGGCGAGACAAGA